AGAACACCAGCCAACCTGCAGTCAGGTCTGCTGCCTGGAGTTGGACCTCAGCCAACAAGCACCATAATGTGGTGTGGGTTAGACATAAGTGGTCTGGTTATAAACCACTGAGAGTGTGTGTTACTTCTGTAGCAAACGTTGGTAAATTTAGGTATAAAAATGTGCCTCCTCAACCAAAGCACTGAACTATCAAGATTAATATTTTTGTGTGACTATACCTATAAAGGAAAGAATTCAGATGGGTTTCCTTCACGTGTAGAGGGGTGTTTGGGGTTATAAGACTTAAAATACATGCTCTGTGGCTTGAGGAGATTATCAGAAAAGCTGAAGCTGAAGTATGGCACACTCAAGTGATTGTAGGAAAGACTAGCTTTGTGGATAAAGATGTCTTTAGCAGACAATCCAAGCAGTGGTTTCAAATAAGAGCCCCAATTGAAGATAATAGGGTAGATGCTCCAAATTAAGGCTTTGATTTTTAGTTAAGGTGCACCTTAAATGGGAAACTTCATGAAGAAGGTTCAGATGAATAGCAAATAGAATTTTTTTAAGGTCAGAAAGGTCATCAAGTACTAGATTGAATGAAAACAGAACCTACATACCAAATTTATAACTTTAATATATCATCACCCTATTATAGTCTTAAAATACCATACTCAAGTGATGATCATGTTTCCATAGTACTTTATTCAATAGAAGTCACTATTTACCTTCAGAGAAAATTGTTTTTGAAATCATTAAGGTCTTACAAGGTTAACAGAGAGATGGTCTTCTAGTATATGCTATGGAGGTGATCAGCCTTATGAGAAAACACCTTATGCTTTTATCTAGGTTCTGGAAAAGTGAAAAGGAATATAAAAGGAGCGACTTACACAGAATCCAATTCAAAACAGAGAAAAAAGGAAAGAAAGGGAATGACTGATATTCCTATTTCCCTTTTCTTTTTCTCATGTGGACCTCACATGTCTTTGCACATGGGTACAGACGAAGGTGCAATGAAATCAGAGCCTTGTGATCTATTTGATCTTAATTTGCAGGGGGCCTTGAAACACTCAATCTGTCTGATTGCCACTGCTAATCTAGTAACTGATTAACTAAGAGGTGTTTCTAAAAAGCCCTAAAAGAAAACTAAGGTGGGGGAGAGGCAGAAGAAAACCCTTGGTGAGTAAAAAGAGCTTCATTATTAGAATTTTTATATTCTGAAGTGGGATCTGATACTGACCTTGGTGATAGCCCCAGAAATCAATTAAGTAACAGATTTTAGAAATGTTCTCTTTCTCCATTTCCCAAGGTCATAGCAATGACTCACCTGAGACCACTAAGTACCCACTGCCTGAAATACTGTAAGAATTTGATTTCAGAAGGGATTTTCAATTTTAAATAAGATGTCTGCATCACCAGAATCTAATATCTCTTGTTAGGTCTTGCATCATTTTTTTTTTTTCAAATACTGAGTTTTATCTTTTTTTTTTTTTTTGCAAAGTCACTCTGGAATAATCTTTGTAGAAGAGAATAGAATTTTACTGCAGAAAGGGACCTTAGAATTTGTGCAATGTGCTCTTTTCCTCACCATAATTCCAGAAATGAGAAAATCATACTCCAAGATTCTTAGACTCTCACCGTTAGGCAGAGATGGTGCTGGGTCTAGATTCGGTCTCTTGCCCTCCCTGGCTTTCACACTCTCCCAAACCATCACAGATTAGTTTGAGATTAAAACATTTAGTCCTTTAACTCATTCAGAATTTACTAGTAGTGTCACACAGTCCAACTTTCTGTTGTTTTCTCTTTTATAGTCATGATATGTATTAAGACAGTGAGGGAAAAGAATGAGTCTCACTACTGACTCTTTGTGGCAGTAAGAGAAAAACATTTTTAACAGTGAAGTGTGAGATTTGAGTATTCACTGTAATTCGATGCTGACAACAGTAACTTCTACCAGTTATTTAGCACATATGAATCATGTTATTGTTTCAAAATAGTTTTCTGTCAATAGTAACTTCTTAGCATGAATCAGCTTACTTTTATTATATTCTCCTTTCCAAATCAACTTTCCTGGTCACATCCTATTTGATTAATGTAATTAGTTTGTCCACATGCTTAGCTGTCTGAACTCCTGGTGCCAGACTAAGCTTTAGATTAAGGGTAGGGACAGTTTTACCTCTGGGGTTTCTGGTTGCTGAGGACAAAGCTAGAAATGGGCAGCAGAGGGATTTGGGAAGATGTAGGACATCTGCCTTTGTTGATGACAACTGAAAAGTTTACAGGTGTTCCGGCTCATCCCTAGTTCCAAGTTTTGAGAAACCCTGCTTCATTCTGGAAATCTGTTGTGGTGCAGGGCAGCATAAAGGTGGAAAGAAGGGCCATTGGCAGGGTTCAGTTTGTCCCTGACTGATTTCTCACCTCAAGGGGAAATCCATGGGATCACTTTAGACAGTTGCTCTGGGAAAAAGGGGGTACTTTGAGTATGCCCCTTGGCATAGTGATTCCGAGCACAAACCCAGAGGCAATTTCAAACCTAGATTAAAAATAAGGGTTTCCTTCGGTACAACTCAAATGGAAAGGCTCTTTGAATCACAACACTTGAATCTGAGTCACTGCCAGTCTTTTCTTTGTCCTATAAAGGCAATTTAAGCACTGAGGTCTGAAGCAGGCTTTTTGATTCCCAGCCTTTCCCCTCTCAGCACACTTCCATCTTGGCCACCCCATCGGAACAGTAAGATCTCTTTAAAGCATTGATTTTAAAGAAAGACCCCTTCATATAAGTAGGTTTGGAGATTTGAGAGTCCCTAGAAATTACTGTCAGTTTGTGATGTAAAGCTATCTGGGGGCCTGGGACACATGGCCTGCCAGATGGCCCCATATATCTGATTGCTCTCACCTTTCTTCTTCCTTTTTCCATGATAAAACTCTTCTGATTTTCTGATTTACCAGCAACTTCAGAGGATTTAAGTCAAATGAAACCTAAAGAAGTTCTGACCTTTCACTTCCACCAATGTGCTAATAATGCATCATCACAAATTATATTTTTAGAGACTTGCGAGAGTTATATTGGGCCAGCTCATATTTAGGTCATCCACCCCACCTCCTTCAAATGCCTTGATTTTTAAAAGACCTTTTGAGTTTCTACAACCAACTTACAAGAAATTCTTAGTTACCTAAACTTACATACCTCATGCTACTGTTTAATTCTTTACTAAGTCTTGCCTAATGGACCTTAAACTATAAAACCTACATTTCATACCTATGGGAAAAGCTGAATGCAAGATTCCAACACTCGCCCTTTAAATTCTTTCCAAGTTTCAGTCCCTTCATAATTGTGTGTGTCCGATATTCCTCTTTTCTACTCTCCCCTTACAATCTCAAATCTTCTGGTTATCAGATGAGGGGCCTGGATGGTCTTATCACTTAGAGTATGACCCCTCTTCCATATAATAGACATTTATGTAGCTGAATACACCCCTCCCCCAACCTCCAAACAAAACCATTCTAAGATTTCTTACTCATTCCTGAGAGTTTCATATTTCACCTGGTATCTCATGTCTCCCACTGCTCTAGTAAGAGGGTGGGCAGATTGGGGATCATGGCAAGATGCTGTTAAGGAGTTTACATATATTTTTGCACTATAATAAACTGTAACTGTGTGTGGACTTAGGGGTCAAATTCTAACAGAATTGTCTCCTTTCTGCTCAGAGAATTCAGTGGTCATATGGTTCAAAATGAGTTTGTTACCAAAAACCTGCTGCTACTATGAAGCATTTTGATTCCATTGTTTTGAGTGGGAATTAAATGTTTTTGTCTCTTTTATTTATTTATTTTTCGCAGAATCATAAAGAACCAAGCAAGTAACTAACAGAAATAAAGAAATGGAGTTTGAAAGGCAGGAACTATTAATAGAGCAATAGAAAGACTGGAAAGAGAAAACACTAAGGTGAGGAAACAGCGCAAAGTGCAGGTATGAAACAACAATGCCATGTGCAAGTGTAAGGATTATGTATGAATATTCAAGAGAAATTACTCTGAAAACCATTTTGGTTACTGAAGCTTTGGGTTGTGGGTCAGGGAGAGATACCTGGAAAGTCAAAACTATCACCTATCTTGCTTTATTGTATCCTTAGCACCTAGCACAGTGAATATTTTTGTAAGAAATGTAACACTGGCCAAACTACACAATGTTTTCAAACTATTTCAGTGACCCAGTCACTTCCATGCCCCAGGAGTCCTGTTTATGGCAGTATTTGTGGGGAAAGTGACTTGACTGAAAGGAATGTATAGGGAATTGATCTGCTATAGTTCATCTGGCTGCAGAGAAAACGAAGAGGAAACCAACTCAGTTGAGCAGATATGAGACCATCCTTGAGTTCTGTCTTTTACATTATTGTCTGCCAGCTCCTGCCCAACTTCTCCCGTCCCCACCTTGTCGACCTGAGGTAACCGAGGAGTTAGCGCCAGAGGCAGTTCTGTGGTTGTAACAAGGAAGTGTCTTGGGGGCAGTACTTCTGCTCTCCCCTGGCACCTCCGGCCAGCACCTGCCTCTGACCCGCGTGCCTCTGCAAAGATGCAGAGGTCGAAGCACGTTGCTTTGCGGAGCTGAAACGCTCCCGGATTCCACCTTGCGCTCCAGCCCACCAACGCCAACCGGGATCTGGGGATCACCGCCAGGATCCCTGTGGGTGTTCCCGTGTCCTCCTTAGATCCCCCTTCACCAGCTCCAGGCCTGCCCCCCCCACTTGAGGGTCGTCCTAGGTTCCCCGAGGCCCTCCACACCCTGGGGCAGCCCTGGGCTCGAACCGGGCACAAAGGGGGAGGGGCGGAAGGCGCGAAGCCGGGTGGGGGGCGCCGGAGCTCCAGCGCCACACTGCCCCGCGCGGGATTTGTCGCTTTCAGCTGCAGCAGCTGCAGCGGCGGCGGGAAGAGGGGTGGGGTGGTGAGAAGGGCTGGAGCCCCGGCCGGGAGGGAGGGACGGAGGGGGGCTGCGAGGCTGTGCCGGAGAGCCGGAGGGGTGCTCTGCGCTCCCCCGCCCTGCTTCCGGAGCGAGGATGCAGACTCTGAAACTGGCGCTGCTGGGCTGAGGTGGAGGCAGGGGAGTTGCAGCGCGAGGCTCCGTGAGTGTGTCTCCTGAGCGCCGAGAGGCGGGGGAGGCGAAGGACCGGGAGGAGGAGGAGGAGAAGGAGAAGGAGGGGGAGAATGCCCGGAGCCGCCGCCGCGATGCTGCCGGCCCAGGAGGCTGCGAAGCTGTACCACACCAACTATGTGCGGAACTCGCGGGCCATCGGCGTGCTGTGGGCCATCTTCACCGTTTGCTTTGCCATCGTCAACGTGGTGTGCTTCATCCAGCCCTACTGGATTGGCGACGGCGTGGACACCCCGCAAGCCGGTTATTTCGGGCTCTTCCACTACTGCATCGGTAACGGCTTCTCCCGGGAGCTGACCTGCAGGGGCAGCTTCACAGACTTCTCCACGCTGCCCTCGGGCGCCTTCAAAGCCGCCTCCTTCTTCATCGGCCTCTCCATGATGCTCATCATCGCCTGCATCATATGCTTTACCCTCTTCTTTTTCTGCAACACGGCGACCGTGTACAAGATCTGTGCCTGGATGCAGCTCACCTCCGGTGAGTGCGCTCTCACCTCCGTGGAGGTGGGGGTCCCCCGGGCGTCCGGGCTGGAGGGGCGGGAGAGGGAGGCATCCGGGCTGGGCGCGCCTCGGGGTGCCGAGCAACTTAGCACGCTTGGGCTTGGAGGTGTAGGTGGCGGGAGCCCTGGGAGGCCGGAAACCCCGGGCTTCCCAGACCCGGCACAAGCTTCTAGTCCCGGGGCTTTGAGAACCTCCCAAGCGCTGGGACACCACTCAGACCCGCTGGAGGCAGGGCGGTTGCTGCGCCGGGTCCACTCGGAACTAAGGAGGGGGAGAAGTGGCCGCTTCAGGGCGCGAGCTGAAGGTCTAAGGAGGGACTTGACACGGCGGGGCGAAAAGCAGATTCGGAGAGTGGAAGGAGAGTCAGCCTGCTCGGTCCCTGACTGGGACGGTGTCTGTCACTGGTCCTTGTAGGAGGTGGTAGTGGCTGGATAGGAATTGTTTCTCTCTGTACCGGGCAGTTAGAAAAAATTTCTCATGCATCTGGAAATGAATACATCCTAATTGTTCTGGGTTTGACCGTTTTAAGAAAAATGTAGCTTAGAATGTTCCTTAACAATTCCCCGATGTCAAGTCTTCAGTTTGCTTCCTGGACAGAGCACAGGTGCTTCCATTCCATCTTTAAACAGAGAGAGGACTTGAGGGAATCAAGGTCTCATTCATTTTCGGGAAGTGGCTTTAGGGAGATGGGCTAAGAGCAAAAACCGTTTCACTAGCATCTCTGCTTGATCTTTGCCTGTTGGTGACAGAATTTTGCTGGCTGGAGAATATGAAAGTATTTTTTCCTAAGTATCAAAGTTACTCTTAACCCAGAAGGCTGAGGTACATTTCCTGGTGGCTTTGGGGAGTCGCGAAACAAAACTGACTGCTTTCTCTTCCTGCGCTGAAGCTGATTCCCTCTGCCAGCCACCTTGGGTGCCCTGCCTGCTAAGTCAGACTCCATTCTCCAGCACTTGACACCCCTTTTTCCCCCAGCATTGCCGGAGTCGTTTTGATTTTATGGGTGTTCTGGTGTGGAGGAACAGATGTCTCAGGCAGCCAATTTTTCTCATTTGTGTTTTGTTTTATTTGATTGTTTTCATATTTTAAAGGTGTTACCTTCGAGATTTTGTAGTTATGTGTATGCTCTGGAAGGTTTTCCAGGGTAGGGATTTGATCCCCAAATTTACCAGAGAGTTCTAGAATGATTAAGACCTTAAAGGTTCTGTACAGTAGAGATAAGGTTCATGATTTTATACTGATAGTTTGATCTGAGAAGCTGGTGGAAGACTCAACTAGAATGGAAATATTTGCTTTGTGTTAAGTGTGTCAGCGATTTTCATTTGTCATGAACTGTGAACATGCCCCATACGAAAGGCACCAGCAGAGGACCCCTCATCCCACATACGATTATCCTCCTGGGATGTAAGAGCGCTTTTCCCTCTGTCATTCCACTCCCAGCTTTTCGAGGCACTCCCCTGCCCCACACACACACACACACACACACACACACACACACACACACTGTTTTTATATATAAACACATAAATACTTATGGTCATTTTCACTGCAGACTAACTATAAGATTTGGAATAAATTAATGTATTTTGTTTGTTCTTGACACTTAACTCTGTTTGACTTTGAAGACAATAGGACATTGAAGATGCAGATGTTTTAGAAAAAGAGTTGACCCTGCACAATGCATTTTAACTTTTCTAAGTTTAATGACCTATTTAGACTGGTGATTCAGATTAGATTGTTTTTCAAAGGTCTGTTATAAATATTTCTAAACAAAGTTCTAAATATTTTATTTTAATGATATTTTTGTACTCTAAATCAAAGTTTTTTTTTCTTTTAAAAGGAAAGAAAACTATCTTTATAAAAGAATTACCTGCTTTGAAGATAGCACTGTCTGCAACTATTAAATTTTTTTCCTTCCTCATCCTGGAATACAGTACACAAAAATAACTTATTATGAGGTAGTAAAATATTATGTCTTGTTTTCACAAACTTTGCATAAATATACTACCATGTTTCCTATATGTCCATGTAAAATGTGGTGATAGCCTTTGTACCAAAGAAGATACAGGGGCATTTACTTCATTTTTGGATCAGTACAGATCCTTAAGTTCTAGGCATAATTTTTAAAGCCTTTATTTGCAGTTTATGTGGTATTTTATTTCTAGATAAACCATAGAAAGACATAACTTTATTAATGAAGTATATGGATTAAACATGGGTAATGACAATAGAACAGTTGAGAATCAGAGTCCATTATATTCACAGGTTTTTTAAGGAATGGGATATAGAAGATAGTTCTGACCAATGTTCACATTTAACGTGGTTTGGGGGGGTTTATTTTTAAGTCTCATGACACAACAAGATATTTAACACACTGTATTGTAAGTTATTTTCAAAGTTTAGTTTCTAACATTTAGACTATTTCTTTTTAATGATAAGAAGATTTTTTCATACTTTTAACTGCACCAAAGCCAATCTCAAGTGTAATGTGCTAACTATGACAGATGAGACTTAATGTACCATTTGCTTATTAGAGACTGTTTAACCCTCATTGAAAGTCAAGTGATTAACTTGTGTATTTAGTTATCTAGGCATTTTAATATAGTAACATCATCAATTAAAGCCAGGTAGAATATAAAATCCCATATGAAATGACACAATAAGGTGATGAGGCAGGAGATTTTCTTGTGGCAATACAACATCAAGGATAATTCCTTTTATGATTCTGAACAATAAACTAGGAAAAAGTACTTAGTTTATTGGACCTGGAAATGATGTTGCTCTTCTATCTAGATGTATAAAGCACATGTAATTAATGGTATTATTATGCACACCTGCCCTCTTCCTTGCATTCTCCCCTCTAAATCATTATTAGCCTCAGTGGAGTGAAACTATAGAATTAAGAGCTAATACACTGTTGTTGGATATAATTCTATACTTATGGGCCATGCCTGATATAAAGACTGAGGATATAAAAATAATACATAAAATGAATAAAAATCAAAGATGCAAGATTTCCTAATCTACAGAGACAACTTTTTGAGGAGAAAAGGGAGACTTTTCTTCTTTCCATATGATTTCTCTAATACTAATAGAAAAGAGGTAGATCTCTGATTGGTTGTGTAGGGTAATAAAGCCCAGATTTAAAAAAACTCAGGGTTAAAGGAATTTTGTCACTCTGGGAACTTGATTTTCTGCTCCTCCAATTTGGTCTTTAAACAGTGTTTTTAGTCTGTTTCCAAGTCTTGTAAAGGTGTTTTGTTTGTTTCACTGACTATAAGCCATATCTTAAATTGTTTCCAGAAGCCTAAATGTTAGCCATTATAAGCCGAAGGGATCTTTAAAAAAACAACAAAAAACTAAACTAAGGCATTAAAGCAGAAATTAAGGGGTGTTTGTTTGTTTGTTTGTTTGTCTTTTAAGACATTCACCATGAACTTCTTGGTTGAAGGCTAAGGGTTACTCACTTTCATGTGTGAAGAAGGGACACCTGAACCAGGTTGAATTCTCTTATTCAGAAGGGGTAAAGTTAGGAAAAGAGTTTACATTTGCCAGATCCCTTATATTTTGTCATTCCAAGTGTACCAACAAGAAGCGCCACCAAAATGGCAAGGTTCTATGGCAGGAGTTAAAGGCTGAATTGCTAGTCACTTTCTCTGGCCTCCCAACCTTAGTTTTCTCAGATATTTTTAAATAGCTTGTTGTCTTAAATTTTATAACTGTCATTTAGGTGAGGTTAGTACCAGAGATAATAATCATTGCATTTTTTAGCTTGCAAAATTAGTCTTTGTAATGTTAAACAATTCTATTTCATAGCACTTTGCATATTTTAATATATCTTATCAGTGTTTGAGATAAGATATGCTTGTGTGTTTGTTTGTTTAATGTCTGTCTTCTCCAGTACATTGAAAGTTCCATTAAGCCATGTCTGATTTTCTTCATATAGCATAGAGGTCAAGATCATGGACAATGGAGTAAAAATATGTTAAGCTAGAACCCTGATTCTGACATTTACAGACTCAGTAACCTGAAAAATTAATATCTTGTACTTCAGTTGATAATTTGCAAAGTGGGCATATGGTTGTCCTTACCTCAGAAGATTGGTACAAGACAGGCATGGAAACATGGAACAGGCTGACAGTGACCAAAGGAAGGGGGGAGGGAGATAATGGTGGAAAGAAGAGGAAGGAACTAGTCAAAGAACATGTATGACTGACCCACAGATGTGGACAACAGTGTAGGAACTGACTGTGGGAGTGGGGGTGGGGATGGGCATGGGCAGAGAAGGGCAAAGGAGGAAAAATTGGGACAACTGTAATAGAATAACAATAAAAAATTAAATGAGGTAATGTATACACTGAGAACACTGCTCAGCATATAGTAAGCAAGAGCTATTTGAATTTAAGAGGTTTAGTTACTGTTCTTGTATTATTATTATTATTATTGCTGTATCCTGGCATACAGTAATATGTGTATGGCTGGCACATAGTAGGTATGTTGAGTTAATGAATTTTTTTAAACTGAACAATTAATGGGACAAAGAATGAAAGGAGAAAGGCATGAAATAAAAATTTCCTACATGCCATGGTGAGAAGTGAATGCCATGTAATTGAAAGCCATGGTGCTCATCTTTCTCAGTGGCTTGTGGAATCAGCTGTAAACACACTAAATGAATTTTTCCAAAATGCTTTGATGTCAGTGGTTGTGACTTGAAAGCCTAATTCATGATGAGCTTATTCTCAAGTGGAGGCTTTTAATGATGCAAATTTCCCTTATCATTTAGTTTCACATGAAAAAAATCACAGTATTCAAAATTGAACTTTTATGTAAGAATCAAAAGATCAGTTTTGTTTTTTTTTTTAAATAAGAGCAGGCACCTTGATCCAGGATGGCTTTCCTTATACGCCTTCAGGAGCAATCCAGACAGAGGAGGATATGTCTTCCAAATTCCCCATTTTTCCTTTCTGGGCATTGTGC